TGTTTTCAAATCCTTTTCAAGCTTGGCTAGCTTTAGTTTGGAAGAATTTTCAAGATTTAAAAATTTGGATTGCACTTCTTCAAACATTTTGAAAAAACGGTTTCTTTCTTCTATGAGCAACCTGACTTCCTTTTCACAAAATAAAAGCTTTTCTTTTGAACCTTGATGCTCCAAATGACATTVGTCGAGATTTTCAAGAATCTCTGTAAAGAAATCAAAAGAATCAGAAGAGGAGGAAGAAGATACCTCTTGGTCATTTCTTGCAGAGGAGTCTGTCTCAACATCAGCCATCCCACAGAAGAGTTCATCCTTTGTGTCTGAGTCTTCCCATGCGAGAAGATCCTTCTGATCGTCGTCATCAGAGGATTCATCTGTGACTAGCTCACTGGATTGAGCTAGAAGAGACTTCTGTTGATAGAACTCAGCCTTCTTTTTGTAGTAGGTTGCATCTTTCGGACCCCTCTGTGATGTCCTTGGTCTTTTGGACCAACAGTCTGTAGCGTAGTGGCCAGGTTTGCCACACTTGAAGCAGCCATCTTTGGGCTCTTCCTTCCTCTGCTCTTCTGCCCTCTGAAAGCGCTTCTGCTCCTTCTCCTTCTTCTCAGATCTCTCTGCTTCTGTGAAGCTTCTGTGATTGAAGCTTCTGTACTCCTTCCTGTCTCCACCCTTTCTGTATTCTCTTGTGATTAATGCAAGAGTCTTCATTATCTCCTTCATGGAGATTTCTTCTTCTTCAGAACTCTAGTCACTGTCAGCAATCAACACCATTTTCTTCTTCTTCTTCTCCTTCTTCGCCTCCTTCCCTTCCTTTCCTTTGCCGGAGCACCCGTCCTCTGCAACTAGAGCCAGAGGACCACCTAGATTTCTCTTCATTTGCATAACTTGGGACTCTTGACTCTTGAGAGATCCAAACAAGTCTGCTAACGTCCATGTCTCGAGATCTAGAATGGCCTTCATGGACATTGTAATAGTCGACCATTCATCCCCAAGGCTCTTCAAAAACAGTGAGTTGTTCTCCTCTGTGGTTCTGGGGATTCCATACATTTTACAGTTGCTAATCAGCGAGATTAGTCTAGCGTATGTATCCGTAAGAGACTCACCCTCTTTGGCCTTGAAGCTATAGTATTCATCGATGCAAATCGAACGATTGTTCTTTAGCGTCTTCCTTCCACCTTC